TAGGGAAAACCAGAAAAAGAAAGAAGTTAAAATAAGCCGGCCAAGAAAAAGCACAGCTAATTCAATGCCTCCATTAAGTATAGAAATGATCATTCAGAGTGGTCCTTGGAGTGCACTCCAACAGGTAACTATAATATGGTGATTCTCAGACAGTAAGAAAACTGACTGGTAATTTGAGGTGGGATTCAAAAGCTCTCATCATTAGTTTAATAAAATACGTTTTCCCATTGACTGCTGAGGGAGAGGAGGGAGAGGAGAATAGTGGTGTTAGCGAATGCTTTAGAAATCTTGCCCGGGTTCCTGATTTTATGGTTCCAGCTACTGAATTACACTAGGTTACAGGTGAAAGTACATAGATAGCTTCCTCACATTAGTTTTACCTTGTGCTTACCATGTACCAGTTTTACCAATAGCTTAATTGAAACAAGGACATTTTGTGATTGGGATAAAAACGATTCCCCCCCGCCCCCAGGATATTGTCCATTTTATGAAAATGATTCAGAATCCTTGCTTTGTAACAGTCTACTCTACTGCAAAAGAGTCACATACTATTTTTGCTGAATTTTGTTGGGTAGCAAGGCTACATGACCATTGGTAGAAATAATATATACAAATTTAATTTTTGGTATTTTTTCATATGCAGGAATATAAACAAATGCTGTAATTTGTTATTATGTTAAGAAAATTGGCTAAAATTTGATGTCTTCCATGTGTCAGGTGTCCAAGTTGTAGCTGCATTGGTCTAGAGGAAAAGGCAATCAGGGCTCGTGGTAGGGTGATACCTTTTATTAGACCAACAAGATTTTTGCAAAAACATGAAAATGTCGAATTTTAGCCAATTTTCAAAATGAAATCTTTATACTTTTCCAAGGAGAAAGCAACTTTGACCACCTGAAACCTGAGATACTGCTTCTGCCTTTGTTCAAGGTAATTTGCATAATCACAGCTCCTCACAAGATCTGAGCGACTGACTCCTTACCAGCTAAGAACTACCTGCCCAGAGGAGTTTTCATTTGTTGACTCCTCTGTGAAATCCTATGAACTTTCATTTCTACCCAGGAGAACTTTTACAATCTTTTCTCCGATCCCTGATGAAGGGTGTTTGTGTCTGAAAGCTTGCAATTAAAGAATTTTTTTTGCAAAAATCTTGATTTAATAAAAGATATCACCTCTACCACAAGCCCAGATTGTATTTTTCCAAGATACATTTCACTTCTGTTTCGAGAAGATTATTTATTCCATGTGATTTCTTAAATGAGAGAAAATCCACATTAGGATTTGTTTTGCTGCAACATTATTTCCCATATGTTCACAAGTGCTGTCACAGGTAGAGCAAAACTCACATGTAAAATGGACCTCAGAATGAGACTTGGTTCCCTTTTTGAAGTGTTACTTTTTCCTCTTCACTGACAATTATAAACCAAACGAATCATTTTCAGGCTTTTTATGTGGAGGTAGTGTTATGAATTTTTTTTTTTTGAAGGCAGTAACAGTCAATAGCTTTTTTTTTTTTTAAGTAGTAAATTAAATGTGCCTATAGTACTTTCAGAATATTGCCATATTCCTTTGATTATATAGAAATGTAAATAAAAGCTTTAATAGATTAAAATATTATGAATTCAATCATATGTATACATTTTTCACTTACTATATGTAGGTCACGACACTTACGCTTCAAGATTTGCCTGGGTGTAGCCTCTCTACGTTGTCAGAATGCACAAATCTTCAGTTATTGACCCTTAGGCGATGTGGGATAACTGCACTGGAAGGACTAAGTAACTGCAAAGACCTCAAGTATATTAATGTGGAGGTACCAAACAAATTTTAATCTATATATGGAGGTGGGGCAAAAATGCAACCTCTGCCATTTACTATTTTATGGAATTAAATACTTGTTAGTCTTTATGCACTAGGAACTTTTTACTAGTGAATGCTATATTGGCTTGTTTACTTTTCATTCCATCCAGGAAGAGCACACAGCAACTGCTGCAGCTTCCTTAGCCTGACGAAGGGTTTTTGAACCCGAAAGCTTGCTTAATAACTATTCTCCAACCATTTGGGTTGGTCTAATAAAAGATATCAAATTCACCCAAGGAACCTTGTCTGCCTATATCCTTAGACCAACACGGCTACAACCTAAACCCCTGCTATATTAACAACGCATTCCTAACACAGGCGCAGCTATATGAACGGAACTGTGCTCTGTCCAGGTCTGGTAAAACCACCATCCACAAGTGAATGAAGATACGCTTTTAAAGGCGCAGACTATTTGATATAACTACATGTATGCTAGGAACTTCTACCAGTATACCTATGTCAGTCAACGATAGTGCCTCGTAATAGACCTGAACAACATAACTGTGCTGTCCATCTGTGATGTAGACCAAATCTAAATGTATTATACATGTCAGGGGTTTCAAAAGTAGGTACCTAATGTTAAGGTCAAAAGTACATATTTAGACTCCTTAGGGTCCGCTTTTATTCCCAAATCCTAAGTGTCTGTCTTTAGCAATAGACTTAAATGACACAAGGTGATACGTGCCACTCTACTATATATACCTTAATTTGAAAATGCGGTGTTTGAAAGTTAAGTATTTACTCCCTCAATTCTGTTGTGTAGCTGTATAAAACCTATTTCTATGCTCCCTTTAGAGGGAGAGGAGATGCATGTAAACCTCTGGGGTACTCTCTCAGATTGAGAAATATAAGGCATTTCCCTTGCTCATAGGTCAAAGCATCTTTCCACCAGCATTTTGTCCAAAAAAATTCTTTTGGCTATTTTTTCTGGGCTATTTTTCCTTAACTTTCTATTTCACTATTTCTGATAGGTGTATACTCACAGGTAGCCAAAGGTCTAGCTGTCCGTATTTGCATTCAGAACCCAGCGAAGCCTTGCTGTTCTAGTTTTGTGCAAGGAACAGGACCAAACTTGACTTTTTGAGGCACGGGGTGGCACATATTGCCCCTTATGCAGCGGTCTGTACAACTGAATGAACAAAGAAAACTTTTGTCTTTATAATGTGCCTAAATTAAGGAACTTGACAGTTTATAAGAGACAGATGTGTTTACTAATTCAGTTTCAACTATTCTGATTATACCAACGTGCCACTGAGTTAATGTACCTTGACAAACAGAAGATCCATTGTCAATAACAGCCTTGAGTTTTTCTTTTTGTGTCAGACTACCATTTAAGATGTGAACTCCTCCAAATTCGGAAAGGAATTGGCAGTGTGGCTTACAGCTGAGAGAATGTTTCCATAGGCTAAGTCAGTACAATGGGAGTCAAAACCCAGTGTTCTTTTTTCAGTTTGGTACTTATTCAGAATGTAATTTGGGGATTTTTTTTAAAGTGTTCCCTAATTTTAGGTGCCCTGAGCAAAACAGTAGGAGAAGTTAGTGTATCTAGCCAAATCTGTTAGTCTTTCTCTGATTGCAGTTTATTTAGACTGTCAGAGCAAAATCATTTTCATGGGTACCTAAATGGGATTTAGGCAGAATTTAGACACCTAAACCCCAAAATATAAGCCAGATGGACACTATCTAGGTAGCAACTGGCAGCGTTTTCTGGTAATGGACCAGAGTGACCCAGCTGAGATCCAGGGGACGGCACTATGATCTGGCTGCTGCTGCCACCTTTTTTTTCTCCCTGCTGCCTGGCTCTGGTATGGCATATGTAAAAGTTTCTGGCTGCTCTGATGCTTAATTACAGTGTGGCATGGGTGAAGACCTCCAGCACTGAATGCCTCAGAAACCCCCCTGCCACCAAACACTGCTGAAGACCCTGCAGTCTGGATCCAGTGGCTCAGAGGACTGAGCCACTGGATAGATAGGCATAGATTACTGACCCCTAGTCTAGACACCTCCGCTTGGCTTGATCTTTTGATCTAAGATCAATTGTGGCATAAGCTTCATTGCAATCCAGCTCTGAGTTGGTAGGCACCTTGAGTAGCGTTCTGTTCTTTTCCGGACGGCTAGATCACTAGATTTGGCCATCTAGGAATACATACAGGTATTAGGTTGTTATAAATGACCAGTCATACAGGTGTGCAGCAGGTTTCAGTTGCCCAAAAACTGGCACGTCTGGTCTATGATAATTTGCCTCGGGTTAAACCAATTTAGATCGAGATCAGGGTAACCTGATCTACTGAACACCTGTATGTGTTTACAGGTGAAGTGCCCTGGGGCTGCACTATTCCCACTCCTCACCTGACCCTGGTTAGGCTATTTTTAGCCCTGAAACTCATGAACCTGCCACCTCCTCCAATTCCTGTCTTCCCCTCCCAGGACACTATTGTTCAAAAGGTGGGCAACACTTACAGCTCATATTCAGAAATGAAAGTTGCTGCAGACATTGTGATTCACACCAAACTTAATGCTGCTTGTGCATCCCCTCCTGAAATGGTAGAGGAGCCAACTATACAGCACTGAGTCAGGGCATAAACTCTTAGGATTGGGGAAAGATGTAGATGTGGCTCCAGTCTCAACACCTGGATGCTCTGGATTGCCTTTTGGAGGCAGCTAACTTTTTGTTGATGGTAAGGAAATCTAAAGTGCCTAATCTTACCAATTTGGATCCTCTCCTTAAAGCAAGGTGTCTAATTTTAAGCTTTTGCAAAGGCTTAAGTGGAGACACTTATGAGAATGATTTGGATCTGACTATATATGTTCACTGCCGTTTCTAAGTGTTAAGATAATTAAGTTCCAAATGATGCAGAGTATTAGCTTATTCTTACTTGTATAAGATAAATGTTTTTTTTCTGGAGGCTGGATGGCTCCTTGGAGTAAGTCTTTAGTATATGAGCAGTGCTGGTAGACAGATTTGTTTTGTTCAGGCTAAATGAGCGATCAGTTAAATATCCTCTTTTAGTAATAGCTGAAATAACAGAAGATACTGCCTGAAGCAAACTAGCACAGAAAAGCTGGACTGGGAGTATAAGAGGTTCTGCTGGGTTGTAAATGCAAATGCAGGCAGCTAGACCTTTGGTTGCCTGAGAGTATACAGCTATCAGAAACGGCAAAATAGAAAGTTAAGAAAAATAGACTAGAAAAATTGCCAAGAGAATTGTTTTTTGGACAAATGCTGGTGGAAAGATGCTTTGACCTATGGTCAAGGAAAATGCCTTACGTTTTCAATTATTAATGTGTTCATAAAAACATGACTTCAACGTCTTTGTATACAAAAAATGATTATGTTAAAGATATACCTGAGCCTGTTATTAGTTTCCTCTTCTAAAGGAAACAATTCAAAAGGTCCTGAATATTGGCTAGCTACTTGGGCTAAGATGAGTAAAGATGGTAACGTTTCCTCTATTTTTAATTAGCCATATAATATACTCCTTTCACAAAAGATATTTTTTAAATTTTATCTTTTGCATTTGTTACAGGAAAATAATATTCAAACAATAAATTGTGAGAAACTGGAAAATCTCTGCATTCTAAATCTGAATAAAAATCAGCTTTCGTCAGTTTGTGGCCTAGATGGCTGCCATAATCTCCGAAATCTTGAATTTTCCTACAATAGAATTACACGAATTGGTAAGAAAATAATACAGATTGTTTGACTCTTTTTTAATTTATATAATACTAGTGGGTGCAACTCCATGTGAAATTAAGGTGAAGCAATAAACTCCAGTGCTGTCTGAGCCAGAGTAAACTGCTCCTGGGAACAGAGTCTACATGTGCACCCAGGACAGCAGCAATTCAAGCTGGGGTAGAGTAGAACCAGGCTGGCAGGTGACATGGGGAGGGGGGTCAGCCTGAGTTCTGGGTGGCAGCGTTGAGTGACGGAGGGACTGGCTGGGGCACGAGGGTGCTGACCCTGAGGAGCTAGATTCCAGGCAAGTGTATGGCAGAAGACTAGATAAATATGGAGAATAAGGACCTTAATTCCCTGATTTAACAAGTAAATGGCAAATAGGAAATTTTAAACTTGAGAAATTTATTGTGATTTTATAGCCACCCATGCAGTTTAAATGCCATGTTAAAATGCCAGGACTTCAGATGTTTGAATGTTGATTTTACATATTAAAGTATCTGAATGTAATTAATATTACTTGAGGATACTGCCCTACAGTAATAGTGAATGTTGGTGTTTTTGGCACTTGCTGTGAAAGTAAAGTCAGTAGCCCAAGGGGGAACTGATGAAACAGATTGGTTGCAAGGAGAAATACTGGAACTTCTTTGTATCCTTGGTGCCAATAGTGCTGTATGAGATTATTTGTTTGCATTGGTTTCCTGGAGCAGAATATTTGCAAGATTAATGTGAAGGTGACATATTATTAATTGATGATCCTTAGGTATGTAGTATCTCTGTATAGAGCAAAAGCCTTCTGTAATGTCTGTTATGTACAATGAAAGCAGTGTGCAATGAGTTTGAATGGGAAAATGGATGTTCAAGAGAAAAAAACACTTGGAGTCTGCTTTTCTCTTTTCAGGAATGGCTGTGAGGAGGTTTGGTTAAACTAAGTTTATAACATAGAGTTTGTTTCATACAATAACATATTGATAGTAAGAAATCTCATAAAGATGGATTTGTGTTTTTAATATGTTAATTTGCCCCTTCTGCCTATAAATCTTGCAGAATGTTCCTTGGCAATTTGGGAAGTTGCAGTGCTGTGTTGTTGTCTTTTTTAATTTATACACAATTTATTCAATTTCAAACTGTTAGTCGATGGATTTTTTTCTTTAAAAATAAGGTTTACTTATTTTTGTGGTTGTAACAATTCAGTCTAATAATTCCTCATAGGGAACTTTGCAGGTACTATGATGTTTGTTTTCATCAAAATAAAAAATTGGCAAAAAAGGCAGTTGGTAGGAGCTGTTAGCAAAATATATGTAAAAAGTGAAGACAGAAACATGCATTCTATTCAATGATTGTATGCTCTGAATGCAGCATTCTCACTAACTGGGTGTTTAAACATTTGTATAATCCATAAATATGCCAAAGTGTATTGTTCCAGTGAACTTTACCAATTTAAATCTAAAAAATCATTATTTTAAATGAAGGCTTGTTAATAAAGAGCTTATGATGCTTCTTTTTCTATGAATCTTTCATGGGTCATGGGATATTTTTCCAGAATACTACTGATGCAAACAAGAACAAGACAGAACCATGGCTTTTATAGGTAGTTTTGGTCTTAATTTTTCTTAGAAAGTTATTAAGAATCATTTAACACAGGTATCAGCTTCTTCAAATATCTTCCTATCTCCTTTCAGGCTCCCTCTGCTCCCCTGTTCTCTTCCATTGGCCCTTGCCTCATTTACTTCCTGCTTTAAATAAAATATTACTGTAGCTGATCTGAGCAAACAATGTTATGCTTAGAGTGGGGCGCCATGGGCTAGTTGTACCATGGGCAAGTGGGGTGGTAGCTATATGCAGCTGCATTCTGTCAGAACAGCTGCACTTAGGGAAGTTTTGATCTCTGTGTTTCCTTGAGGCATACACATATTGTCACAAAACACTCTTTTGTACTCTTAGCATAATGCAAGTGATATGATGTCACCTATATGTCAGTGACCATGTGAAGTATAATTCTCATTTGTCTTTTGTACCATTAGTGCTATTTTATGCATGATGGAATCCTTATCATTATATAAAACTGAGAATACTAGTTCTTGAATTGTGAGAAAACAAATTTACCTGGCACTTGGGTTTACTGAAGATATATTTGGTTTAAACTACAGCCATTCAAGCATCTTATTTATTTTATTTTATTTTATTTTATCGGTATATTTTAATTACAGTAGCATGTACATGTCCCCAAATAGACTGAGTCCATTTTTCATGATATTGTATAAGCATAGTGAAAGAGCTCTTTGAATTTACAATCAAAAAAGCTTTCAGTTGAAATAAACAAGATGATTGAGGGGTGGGAAAGATTACAACTACATGAAGGTGAAGTAACTTTCTTGGCTCACAGAACAGAGCACTAGCAGAGCTGGAAATAATCAGGTTTCATCACTTGTCTAATACTCATGTCCAGGTTCCTTGTACATATCCGTTCATTTTCTGCCACTCTTTTAATTTAGTGCTTCTTTTTTAAGGGTGTTAGTGTTCCTACATAAAGAATAGATATAGTTAAAAATGTGAGAGGACTATTGGGAGAAGTCCTTGAAACTGTTAATTCCAGTACTATGTTTAAAGTTAATTTACACTGAGTCCACTAGATGGTGCCAGTTCCCTTTTAAACTCTTCCAGTGAATTCAGAAGTTGAGAGCCTGGGGTAGTATGTTCAAGCTGTGTTTGAAATTCTTTTAAGATAAGTGAAGGCTAGTAACTTCATATCTTAAAGCTGGGATTGGCGGTTCTAGCACAGAACATGTGGCTTAGATCTAGTTTCTTATAACTTTAATATCTGGTATTCTTTCAGGTGGATGGATTTGTTCCAGTAGGTCTGTTTCATTTCCAAGTAGCGTGCTTCAAAGTTCTGTTCTGGATGAGTTTTTAATGCAAAGCTAATAATGACATTTAATTTTTACTTTGGTTTTCCTCTTGTCTTTCCTCTTATTTGCTATTCTTTCTCCATATGCTAAGCCACCCGTGGCTGTGGCACCCCTATCTTGTTGGGATGCACAGTGCTTCCAAGGCCTAGATTGTTGGTGTGTGAGAACTGCAAGAGAGTTCTTTCCTTGCATAGATCACCCTACCCTACCCTTTTATGGGAAGACGAGAAACTTATGGGAAAATGTTGATCTTGGAGGAGTTGCCTCAACTAGTCCTGTGAAGAGAGCCAGAAAAAAGATGGTAGTATATTTTTCATGGCACCTCCCTCTTCAGAAAGGGCTGTTCATCTTCAAGGGAGACACAATGCTAGGAAAAACGGAGCAAATGGGCCCAGAGACAGTAAAGAGGCACAAGGCCTCCATTACGATGGCCTTAATCCTCTCTTGGAGCTTCTGGGATCTGTAAGGCTGTGGGAAAAGAACCCAGGTTCATTCCTCTAGCCAGTAAATGGTTCAGAGGATGGTCCCCTAAGAGGACTGGTCCCTGACACAGGTGCTTTCTCTCTGTCTGCAGGTAGTCTGCGGAAGAGAGAGGTGATATCATGATCCTTGCTGTGAATGTATTAGTGGTTAGGAGTATTTTTAAGAGCATGTTGGCTTGATACACAATGCAAATTATAATTGTTTAAAGACATATACTTTCCTTACACATTATTTTCCAACACATTTTTTTTTTTAAATGAGGCATGTCTTCATTATCATCCCAGGTGCTTAGATGATATTTTTCTAATGAATTCTCACTTCTTCAGGTCACTTAAAAAAATAACTTTAAAATGTTTTGAAGGAGTAATATTAAGCTGTTAATGTAGCTGCTGATACCTCTTTTAGAAATTATTTTAAGAGAGGGGCTAACACTTTAGAAATACCAAAGGACCCTGAATAAATATGCTAGAGCATGTTGTAGCTTCTTGATTAACAACATTGTAAGTATAATTTATTGCATAAAACATGTCCTATTACAACACTTCGCAATGAGATTTGCCCAGGGAATACTAAACTATTATTGGTTTCTTGCTTAGTTAATTGGATCAGATGTTTGTTAATAGTGCATATTGTACAAAAAGGTTGTTTTGAAAATTCTTTAAAGACATGGGAAGCACTGAACTGTTAATCAAAGTTTTCAAAAATAATTGCAGACTTTTATAGAACATGAACATTTCTCTTTGATATGTAAAAAATATTTAAACCCTGACATTTTGACAGATTCAAGTTTTATACTCAACAGAAGCTTTAAACCCATTAGGTCTTAATTCTGGCTAAATTATAATCTTTATGTATTTATTCTTTTAAAGGTGGCTTAGAGTCATTGAAAAATCTTCAGCAACTCATTGTGGATCACAATCAGATAATCAGCACAAAAGGTCTTTGCGATGCACCTACACTGATGCACATTGACTGCTCTTTTAATCATCTTACTCATCTTGCGGGCATTGAGAATTGTGCCATGCTACAAATTCTGAAGTTACAGGGCAATAACTTAAGTGAGGTAAAAATTCCACATCATTATTGTTTTTACATCATGCTTCTCTATTACTCATAAATCTAATATATATTTTTTATTTCAGAGCCACATTTTCAAAGATGTCAAGAGCTAGCTGTGATAGCTGGTCATTTCTTTACCCTATTTATGTTAATAGTCCTCCTCTTAGTAAATTAAATCCCATTCTTTCCACTATAGCAATTATTTTTCACATTGTTTTATGTTCTTATGATTTTAAAAAATTTAAAATTTAACAAAATACTATGATCATTAAGAATCAAATTATTTTTGGGCTAAAATTCTCAAAATCAGCCCCTAGATACCTACTGTATTGTTATTTAGTCACTTTTCTTAGCTAGAACACTGATATAAATCTGAGGAATACTTTGTCAAAAGCTAGCAAGTAACCTACATGAATAAAAATGAATTTACATATTTTTTTATCTCAGATGTTATGTATATACTGTGTGCCAATTATACTAAATGTTTACATATCAATATATGTATAGCAAATTTTTATATTAAAGTTAACAAACTACATTTTACCAAAACTTAGTAATTTATTCAAGAAAATTATCTGGCAAGCATTCTACTGTTATTACTGCAATCAGTTTTTATTTTCAATAAATAACTAATTTGTATTTAGTTCCCAAGGTTGGAAAATCACGTTCTGCTAAGAGAGCTGTGCTTGGATGACAATAGTATCTTAACTATGGAAGGATTTTCTTTGTGTTGGCTGCCTTTGCTTCAGTTCCTCTCTCTCTCACAAAACAGGTAAAATGGAAAGTTTTTTTTTCCCCTATTTAAGCATGTAAGTATGAATCTGAGTGCTTTACAAAGGCCATAAAGGCTAGCCCTGCTGTATCCTCTGAAAAGGTCCTACACCAGTTGATTGGTGTAGCACTTATTTAGCTAAGAAAAACATTAAAATAACCGTGGTCATATATAGAGTAAATTTAAAAGTAATAATTTTAGCAGTGATATCAATTATTTTGCTAATATTCCTTTGTTGTTTTTCTTCATATCCTATGGCTAGTTTTGCTTCTTTGCTCAGTTTAATTATCCTCCAAGTCTTTCTGGATTGCACAGTGATAGCTGGAATATTCATCAAGATACTAATTACCAGTTTACACATGCACTCTGTCAGTTTCGAAAATTACGTTTCGGGTTGTTTGCTTTCATTTTACATTGTCACCGTTCTGTTTGATTGCAGATATAAAATAAAATAAAAATGGGAAAAAAATACAAATCTCTGCAGATACTAAAACTCTAATTAAGTGTCTTATTCTTCTGTGTAAGCCAATCTGTTGTACTATGGTGAGCAAATATTTAGAATTAAAGATACACAACTTATAAAATAAGTTAGGCTCAGTTGATGTAAAGCCAAGCAATAACCTTGGTTTATAATTTTGTATATTACTAGTACAAAAATGAATACCGAGAGGAAAAAAGGCTTATGGCAAAGTGATTGTTTTAAAGATATAAGGTGATACAGTTTCTGAATGGAAAGTCTATTTTACTGAACTTTTATCATGATTTTATACATTTTATGAAGGATTTACATTAACAACCTGCCTTCCTTTTGCAAGGATTGAAGTACCAGAGATAAGCAGGTATATGTCATTTAAGACATGTGCAAAACAGATTGACCCGCAGAGAATATAGGACAGTCCTAGAGACATTAGGACATGTATCACATTCAGCAGCATTCTGTTATAGCTGGGAAATTTGTATGTTGTTTTCTGTGTCTTTTCAACCAGATGAAAGCCAAATAGGAATGATTATGGAGAAACATAAAGAAATTATGGTAAATTTAGATCCATGTAGAGTTTAATATGTCTATATCTGTTACTGACTGATGTGCAAGAAATATGTATACAATTTCACATTTGTATCTACCATTTCTAGGTATGCAATGTAAGTCAGAGTGTGCACATACCTACTTTTAATGCATTATAACAAATCCTACTTTTCAATCTTGATCACACTTCTGAGGTTTATGTAGAGGTTTTCTAACTCTAACATGAGCATTATACGTTGGACAGTGGATTTTGTTTTGTACTTTCTGACTTAATTTGGAAACTCGGATAAAAATGTAAAAGTGTATATAAATTGTCTAGATGGCATTTGCCCCTTTTTATTTCATGGATTTTATTTTTGTTTTTCCTTTGCTAGTCTTCTTCTTGTAGAACACCCAATCTGAGTTTCGTTTTTTCTTCTTTATATTTTATAAAGTTTTTCTGACTTTTTTTTTTCCTTTTCCCTCCACTATTGCTGTCACCTTTTTTCCCCATTCATCCACCCTATTGACAAAGCCATATTTTCTTGCATGTAACTTGCCTATAAATATAATATTTTTGGAAGGTCCCAAGAAAGAGAAAAAAACACTTACCTTGGAATACAGGTAAGTAACTGAGACTTGGGGTTGAGAGCTGCATGCTGGGGCTGGGAACCACATGGCAGGGCCTGTTTTGTGCATCAGCTCTGAAACCATTTGCCAAGTCTGACTCAGTGTCTAGCCCCAGAGTCAGTGCTTGGTTCCAGATTTGGTGGACTAGGTCCACTCCTGCTGCCAAATTTCCGGACCCATGGAGAACTCATTTCCTTGCATATAATGCATGCCTCTGTTTTCCCCAGCTGGTTTTGGGGGAAAAGGTGTGGAGTATATGTGATAAAATATGTTCTCACTCACATGACTCGACTCATTCCCTGCAGTGTGCCTTTTGCCTGTTCTGCTGTCATTATGTACTGCAATGGTTGTCTGGTTGAAGAGCTGCATGTTTGGAAGCAGCATTGCGTGTTAATGCACTCCCCAAGCAGATAGATGGAGGACTAGTCAGACCAGAACTGCTTCCATTTCACCTTTGTATGTATCAGTGCCTTAGCTCAAATTGTTGGGGCAAAAGGACGAGATATCATGTAATACATGTTAAAAGCCTCAAAATTCCTAGCATTTCAGTAGCCTGCTCTATTACGTTAACTTTATGTACATCATAAGCAGCTCCATATGTGTCTGCTATGGTGAAAGTAACTGGATGTTCTACATAGAATAATTGTAATGGAGAAAGCTGTTGAAAGAGAAGCTGTGTCTTTGCTTTTATCCTGCAGCTGATGCAATTTTGTAACTTAAAAAAAAAACACTGAGTGCCATTTCCTTTTTGCTAACTGCAGGAAGCCCCTTCATCAGTAAGACTGTGCATTTATACTGTCCCTAAACATGAAGCCCAGGATTTTAGAAACATCTACATAACCTAATTTATAAAAAAATGTTGATAATCTAGATATTGTTTCCCTATCATAAACCAAAAATTGCTGCTAGCACTCACTTTTCAAAGGTGAACCTCAAAGCAAAATAAAAATCTGTTTTAAATCCATGAATTAGTAACAGGGAATTGGTGTAGAGTTAAATGCATGCAAACATAAAATATCTGAAAAATAAATGCGTTTTTTTACATACCTGCATTAGCCTACTTTGTTTTGTATTCTTTTAATGCTACTGTTTATATGAGTGAAGAGCTTTGCCTGCACACTATGGACTTGAACTTCCCATTCATAAAGTTAATCGCAAAGCTTCCGTTGATCTTAGTTGAGCAGAAGCATTACTAGTGCAGAAGTGAACTGCAACGCTCTTGCTCCCAGTACTGAAGAATTTACTAGTATGTTATATATTAGTCAAGAGTGCTATAGGGTAACAGCATCGCAGACACCCAAATAGGAGAAAAATGTTCCTTGTTTTTGCTTTACATGTTTGTGATAACATTAACTGTTGAGGTGACAACAATCCTGAAAATAGCAGTCCAGTAGGAAAAGAAAAGTCCTATGCACTATTCATACCTGCGTATGTATTCTGTAAACTGTTTAGGTTCTGAAATAAAGCATTTATCAATTTAAAATAACCTATGATGCAGTATATCAAGCTGCTGTTCAGCTTTGAAATAGACAAATGATCTCTTTTGACAATTTCTGTTTAAAAAAAAGAGAGACCTGTCACATTTAAGGTATAAATATAATCTCCTGCCTGCTGAAGTTGATCATAAAAATTCCAGTGACCTCAGAAAAAACAAGATTGAATTCTTTGTGGACATTTTTGATCATGTAGACAATTAGCATATTTTTTGTACAACAGTCAAAATGGAAATGCTAAAAGATCCTCTGAAATCTTACACCTATTATTCTCTCTAACAAGCATTATTCTCTCTATTAAGCACCCATCAGAAAATGCCTCCTTTGGAGAATTTTATTACTTTTCCAGAAATATTTGGGAATTAACTTCAATATCCAGTTGTATTTAGATTAATCAGTCATAAAGGGAAGTGCTTGGATAATGCACTTTTATGAATGAGGGATGGTTTGTTTGGTTTTTGCAGTCGATTTCAGTATACTGTGGTTGCACCTATGCCATGCTTATTTCTGATTGTCTGACCTTAGGGAACCAATGTGTACTGTCTGCCAGAGAACATGGTGGGAAAATGTAGAAATATAATAAATTACTGTGTTTGTGTTTGATTATGATTATATATACATTCTCAAAATTATAAAGAAGGTGGAAAAATATAGGAACCTTACTTAAAATGATATACTAAGTTACTCTAAGTCATAGTTATGCCATCTTCCGTCCTGCTAACCTCTTATTAACATCAATGCCAGTTTCCATGTGTAAAGGAAGACAGCAGGATTTGGACCATCAAGCATAGTAATTGGTGTACATGTTCTGAAATTCAGCCTTTATTTTCTCTAGAGAATACCTACAACTGTTCCAGTCTTTTAAATCTGTTTTTCTGACTAGAAGTATATCTGGGTATCTATGTCCAGTCCAGCTTCAATATTAAATGGGAGCAGAAAAAGGAAGCTATTGCTTGCTTTTTTTGTGAATATCTTTTACTTTTGTGTCTTCTTTGTAATTTATATCTTTTTTATGCCCAGGGCTAATGTGACAAGGTCAAGTGGTATTAAGTTTTCAGTAATGTCCTTTGTCTTTCTGGTTTGAATTTTCTGAGAAAAAAAATTAAGAAAGAATGTCAGTAAAAGGAAAGCTATAGAATGACTTAACTCTGAAACTCTGGTTTAACTCTGGTAAAGCTACCAGCAGATGACTGTAGTCGAAAGATGATTGCCAATTCACCACTCTGTAGCACAACAAATACCAATGCAACAACACAGTATAAAAAGGAAATATTACATCTACTCAGCTAGAAAACAGAGCTTTTAAAATTGGATTTTATTCCATAAAACCCCATCCAACTGTTGCTGCTTCTGAAATATACATGTCTCTAGTCTGTACCACGGATTTTCTGATTCTAATATGTGCTCTTTGCCACTACCCATTACAAGTGATTATTATAAAAATATAAATAGAAGTGGATGCACTGTTTGGATGTTAATAGAAAAATCAGTTTTCTTATGATTTTAAATGATGATGTCAATGTTAATAAAAGCCTATTAATGAAGTATATTTTCCTCTTAGTTTCTAAGACTAATGTTTCATTGTTCTTTCTGACTCCATTTGAAAAAAATATGGTAATTGGATAGCAAGTTAAAGTAAGCACAGTTCTATTTTAAAATGTGGCTCTCCATAGTACAATGGTTTGCTTTTACTATGCTATATGAAACACCAGTGTTTCAGTTTCTACTTATCCATACAAAAATTTTAACTAATTTAACTGAATGTTACACTGATTTAATTAAACTAGTGCCTGTTTATGCATCAATGCTCTAATTTTGGTCTGAGAGAAGTTTATTACAATTTTGCTTAATTCATTTTTTCAGGTTTAAGCTTAAGCAAAATTAAAGTTTTTTTTAATATAGAAATAGCAGTATTTACAAACATTCCTGGCTTATAAATACTGGCTTAAAAACGATTCTTAGTTATACTGGTATAAGTTTATATTTGGATAAAACCATATCATATTGCAAAACAACTGAAGATGCTTTTAATTTTCCTAGTAAAAATGATCATTGGACATGCTTTCTAAGGTTTAGGCTTTATTCAGTGCCTTTTTAAGGCATTTGTTGGACTTTCACAAAAGCTGTCTTTACCATAACCTTCCTACTTTGGGGACCTAATAGTTTGCCACATCATTCTGGAAGGGCAGTTTTGTTCATAGAATCATAGGGCTGGAAGGGACCCTGAAGGATCATCAGGTCCAGCCCCCTGCTGACGCATGCATAAAAAGTGATCCTGTGTCAGTCCCTGAACTTGGCACATCACTGACACAGTGTCCTGTCCCAGAGAAATGACAAAGGCACCACAGACCTAGTATACCACAGTGCAGCAGCTGACGTGTCAAAGAGCATGTGGGTTCCTGCAAGAATGTTAGTGCTGTTCATGTGTTGAAGTTGAAGCATTGCAGTAAATACTGAGTGGAGAAGAAAAGAGAAGGAATTCTGTATATTTTAATTTTTTTTGTCTATTTTCCCAGAATCAGGGTCTCTTTCTAGTTGCATGCTAGTCATACTATCTCAAAAGAAGCTGATTGAAAAATTAAAAAATGGCAGAAGAGTTGAGATCATAACTACTGAGGGGGAGTGGTAGGGAAGACAGTAAAATCTACACAGCCTCAGTGCCATGTAGAAGACCAAGAAATGTTATAAAACATTGTAAGGCTAAAGGGGAAAAACTGCAGCAATTAATTCTAGCACCTTGGATAGCTAAATGAATAATTTCTGAAGTTAAAGTTCCCATAAGTGAGAATAGCTATAATGTCAATGGGAACTGTCTCAAGAGAACAACAGTAAATTACGAAGACTTTTTTTTTCCTGATTTAGTTTGACGGAACTTACACCCCTATTTTCATGCATCTCTTTGGAGAAGCTAGATATCAGCAACAACTACTTGTCAGGTAAGTTTTTAGGAACAAATTAATCCAAAATATTTTATATATTCTTTTATGAAAAACCCTAAAGAATATAGACAAACATAATAATATAAATGTCACTGAAATTGTTAAAATATAAATAAATGGTCTAAATATTACCAAAGTTTTCTCATCACTCTTATTAGTGAAGTAACTTGGGGAGCCTAAAACCTGATCTGTTCTGATTAGCACATGTTGAAGCAGACTCAGTTGGAGCACAGTAATAAGAATGCTCCAGTGTACTATAGCGTCTTGTGTATTTATGATCCCTGCTTTTCAAAATGGTGGTGGGGGCACTTTAACTAAAGCTTTAGTTAAAGGACCCCCACCACCATTTTGAAATGCAGGGCACTGAATATATGAGATGCTATGGATGTTTTAATTAGAGCGGCTCCTGCAAGACACTCTAATTTAAAACGCCCTCCCTCACCTTGGTGCATGTGCAAAAATGCCCTTGGCATCTTTCAGCAGTTTCTATGTGGTATAACTAACATCTTTCATATATAGTTCCCTTGTCCCAGGGGAAATATTGTGTATTTGGAGTAGACTGTTATTTCTCGTTTTATCTATTGATTGATTTGTTTTATTTATTTATTTTAAAGTGTACTTAGGGTAGAAAATGCTAGGCAACAGAACATGTTTGTGCTTAGATGTGCTGTGGCAGTCGGTACTAGTTGGGGTTTCCAAAGGCTGCTGACTTTATACCCTATCTATTTCTTTGCTGCCTTGCTACAGATGAAGTTGTACGTAATGGAGGTCAATTTGTTCCATAAACCAGAATGGAACATAGACTTCTACGCCAGAAGAGTTGCTAGAAGGTTTTAATTATGAATGCAGATACTTGAGGGCTTAACATCAATGAGTAACTCAGAAAAAAAATTATCATTCCATGTTTTTTTTATTGTTGCCCCACCTTTGTTTTTTCCATGTACTACTAAATATGAAAGGACTTGGCTGACTGTGTGTTTACTTCAGTGAAAGAAGAATATGCTGTGGTTGAAAAGTCCTCAAAATATTTTCCCTTCTCAGCCAACATTTCTTTTATCTTGCTTATCTTCAGTTTTCACAACTGTTCTTTTTCCACAAAAAGATCTCATACAAACACTGGGTTATCTTGATGGTAGTGAAATGGTCAGATGCACTGATGAATAATTAATTATGTCCTGCTTGCATATGTCAACTAAAGAATCAAGTGACTTATACATCAACTGCTATATTTCCTAACAGTGAAAAGCATCATATACATAACATTCCAAAAACTACTAGCAGAATTGTGTGTCATCACCTATAGTAGCAGTAGTCTGCGCTTGTACATTTCTAGATGTAATTCAATTTCTAGATGTAATCATAGATGTCACATTTAGTGTGAGAGTTCTCTTTAGGCCCAGGAAGCCTGAAAAGAAGGAATGTATCATCAGCCTATATTCTGATATTTTCCCCCCATTTCTTATTTTTTCTTTTAATAGCACACTGGTTTTTATCAAATACCCATTTATCCAGGTATTTCAGGTATTGTCAAACCTATTCATATACTTGGTTGTCTTCTGAATCTGACAATAAAAATGTTAAGAATGTACATATTTGCTAAGTTTTGTTTAACATTCTCTATGCCAGAGCTGGATGAAATGTCACAAAATTTCTCAGTCAATTTGATATTTGTTTTTTCTTTCTTAATATATTATAGACCTTAGTAGTGTTAGCACATGGTTTAATGGATGCCATGAACTAACTGAATTAACACTCAATGGAAATCCACTTCTCCAAGAAAAAAACTGGAGGTAAGAAAATCAGTTGATAATCCCTGAAGTATATTAGATTCTTTTTGAGAGGCTATCTCAACCAGAGCACTAACACAGCAAATGATGTATAAGTCATAATGTTTAAGGGCATTTATACACATACATTTGTCTGTTTCAACACTCCAGAGATCCGGTGTGTTGGAACAGACTTGATTAATCAAGTCTGCTTTGCATGCAAACTGTGGCGCCTGGTGCTGCCTCACATGCATTTGTATAAAATGCGATATGCGCATGAGCGCTGAGAAAATGGTGGCAGTGCACTTTTGAACACATTTGTGTTTTAGTTCAAAAGCATGCTGCTGCCATTGTCTCAGTGCTGACATGCATTTTGCCATTTATACAAATGTATGTGCTGCAGCACTGAGCACTTTCAGCACAATCATGTGTACAAATGCCCTTAGTTATTCAGGTAATGTCTTTACAAAAACCTGAGGATTGCAGTCAATTGCTAGGAGGATGCTGCAGCTATACATTTTAAAAATTAAATATAATTTAGTTGGTCTAATAAAAGATACCATATTTACCCACGGAACCTTGTCTGACTATATCATATCAGATAGTTTTAGAGTAAAAAAGTATCCTCAGTATACTTGATAAGATAAATGGCCAGTATTATTCAACTTGTCCACAAGGACTGAAAGTGCTGTTCTAGTGTATATTTCTTCATGAGGGGTTGGGACACCATTGCAAATGGCAATACAATATTATCTTTGAAGTTTTACTGATATATATATATATATATATTTTAAAGTTGGATATTTTCATTGTAAAACTATATCCAGTGTACTCCTTTTAGGGATTCTAACTTCACTGTATGCCTCATATTTATATATAAATAGGGAAGTCTGTGGGGAGTAAATATTAATCTTCCCTCCTAGATGTAACAAAGAAGTGTAAGTGTCTGTCTGTGTAAGACATTAGGGAGAGCAGTACAGGGCTTGCCATCTGTATTTTTTCTTATATGGTACATCTTGCATTGATTACTAACCTCAGAATTAGGGCTGACTTCCAGTTTACTACTCTGTGGCTAATTTGGTATTCTCCCTGTTTTGTGGACAATATACTACTGAACACTTGAATAATTGTAAAGGTAGGACTCAACTAAGCCCTCGAAAGAAAGCCCCTAGAAAACTCTCTCAAGGCGCAGACAGAAGTGAGTTTTTGCCCGATCTGGCCCCAGAAAGCACTCTAGTCATGACCAAACAGAAGCGCACAGCTGCATAACACTAGTGCTGGAGGGTGGCATGGGTGGATTGGACCCCCCATCCCAATCCAGTCCACCCACCCACCCCATCCTCCAGTGCCTGCTGGGGAACCCCCAGAATGAGATCCCACTGCTCCCTTTCCCCCCCTCCCATTCTGAAAACAGTGCCAAGGCTGGAAGGGGGAAGGGGCATTGGCAGGGGAGAGTTGCTGCAGGCTTGCAGCTGCTCTAAACAGCAGCTGGCTTCCCCAACCTCTGGGACCCAACAGCAGACTTCTGTTGTAACTCATTGTAACTCAAGAGTGCTTCCTGTGAAACACCAGGAGTTACAATGGGGAGCTGCTCTTCTGTTTGCACCTTCAGTGAGCAATGGTTAAACACATGCAAATTCAGACTACTGTCTACTTTGTAAACTGTTGTTACCATCCTCTCATCCTGCTTACCTCTTCATCCTCCTATCATGCTTCTAATGAGTTTAGATTCTGTTCTCTTTCTGTTCAGTGTTTGTTACACACAGTATGGTGAGGCATTGATTCTGCCTAATGTGCCTGCATGACAAAGCTCCTCCTCCACCTCCCATTACACATGCAGTTGTATGGCTAGGATAACCCAGTTGCACTGCCTAGCAAAACCAGCTAAAAGTTTGGGAGAAGCTAAGGGAGTTGGCTTTTCTAGCAATTAAAGGTTCAGCCGCTTAGTTGGACAGAACAAGGAAAATTCCCAATTAGCTTCTTAGCAAGAAAAGTCTATGTAGTTAGGAATATCCCATTTAATAGGAAGCCTTTTTTTAGTTCTATGTCCCCAAAAATTTCTGAAGCTACAAGCATCAGATGATGATAAAAAACAGTTTTTGCCACCTTCATCTGAGTAACTGTCAGCTACAAGCTGGAACTAGCTGCTAGATATAAGAGCTAGTCATAGTAGTTTGTCTGAACCATGGAAGTCCTCAGATTCTGCTATTTATTGGGGGTGCCTGACTTTCACTTTCAATTCCTGATCTTTTCTTTGGGCCACAGATCAAGGGAAGTGCATCAGTTCAGCAATGCAAGATTGTGTTTGCCTCCAAAGAGTGACCGCCAGCGATTGTGGTGGAACTTAATAATAAGAAGCTATCTTTCCATAGTTTGACTTAAAGTTCACATCTCTCACCCGCAGCTCTTCTCGGGTTTAGCTACACCCTTCAAAAAATTGATAAGGACACTTCTCTGTGCTTAAGCAAGGGCCACCAAATTTGGCTTAATATGTTTGAGTTTTTAGTAAAAGTCCGCATCTTTTCATTTGTTGCTGGAGTGTGGTAGTGTAGTCACCTCAAGCTTATTCTCTTCTGTAATTAACATTTTTCTCCACCTCCAAATAAAATTAAAGAACATGTCTTTAAATGTTTTATAGTTTCATAAAGTTTAACGTATAAACTAAGACCTTTTAGTACAGTTCTTATTAGTTCATTCACAAAACAAGAGAGTGCATTGAGCTCTTCTGGCACAGACATTTGTCACTCAGATAGACATTTTTCAGAATACCTATTACTTTATTTCTGTTCTCCTTTGGAAATAGTGTACACATTTAAATTGGCAGGTTTACTATGTTCCATCTGTTTGAATGATTGAAATACCTGTCTAACCGCCAAAAGAACACGTCTTTGATATTTCCAGTAAGTGATTGCTGTGAAACACTTTAGAAAGTAGTTTTTCATTTGTATGAATTCTGTTTTCTAAGTACTTGATTACTTATTTTTGCAAAAGAAATGAACTCCCAAATACAAATGTATATGAAACTTTGCCTATATGCTTGTCTGTATTTTTAATACTGATAAATTGTATGGTATAGTCATGGCTCTATTATAGCTTTCTCCTTCAGCTATGCTGTGTCTCTGTGTCGGTCTGTTAAACGTAAATACGTTTTTGAGCATGGGACTATATTTAAGATTATTTTGTTCACATATGTAAAGTGCTTTCAGTTCTTTCTATAGAAAGAAATATTTGACTTGTGTTGCTCAAATTTTAAGTATGGGCTTAAGCTAATAAGACTTAAGCCTGTATTTAAATACAGTTCAAGAGACTTTCTCCTGTATTGGGACATTTGTTATTCTTATTAAATTTAGTTTAAAAGATTCCAATGAAAGTGACATTTCAAGACCAATTAGCAGGTATTTTCATTCAATAATTTCCCATCTATCAGTAGTGCTGCTAATGTTTTGATTGTTTAAGATCTGTTCTCTCCTGTTTAGAAACAGTTCTCACACTTTTGTGAAAACTGTTCTAAGTTCACATAGAATTTAAAAAAAACCAAGCAATATGCTGTTGTGAGAGGGTGCTTAGTGCACCTGTCACTTTAAGAGAAGAGAAGGCTCGAGAAACAGCTCAAGCAGCAATCAGGGAAGACACCTGAATGGAAGGGGGCTGGGCTTGGAGTATATATAAGCCCAGGGCCTGAGGTAGGCAGACAGCCTGGCCCTGGAGGCTGATGTGAGAAGAGCTCCTGAGCAGGCTACAGAGAGAGCCTTTTGATAGAGACCTAGAATGCCTGGGGGCTGAGGTAATGCTAGTAATTTAGGGTGGAACTAAGGGGAGGTAGAGGTCCCAGAGGCCTAAGAGTAGGGCCAGAGGCCTAGGAGTAAGTCTAGTCCAGAAATAGGGAAGAGAAAAGACAGACAGATGCTTGGGAGTAGGGAAGAGGGAGAGGGCTCCAGGGCCCAGAGAGGAGCCAAGATGGGTGTGTCTAGAGAGCCTGGAGCCAAGATGGGGACAGAGAACCCATGGCCCAGGGATGGGCTGAGAGTGAGTGAGGTGGATCAGAGCAAAGGGCCCACTAGTCTGATTCATAACGATTGATTGGTAACCTCTGCAAGGCTTGGGCATGGGTAAAAGGGGAGATGAGGAGGCCATGAGGGTATCCTTAAAGTGATAGGCAGACAAGCTTATTTGGGTGAATCTGGTATCTTTTATTAGACCAACTTAAATAGTTGGAAAACAATTTTTAAGCAAGATTTTGGGTTCAAAAACCCTTCATCAGGCTGAGGAAGTTTCAGCAGTTGGTGTGTGCTCTTCCTGGATGGAATATCCTTAAAGTGATAAGTGTTTAGAACCATGAAATTGTCCTTATGGTGATAAGTGAGTGGATGAGATCTGGCTTATGGGCCTGTGGGGCGGCTTCCCATTCCTAAATACATGTTAACCTTAAGGCATGGCAGGTGAGCAGAGGGGGGAGGATGCTTAGAAGTCAGGGTAAAACAGGGTCCGAGTAGCCACAAGGGGACATCACTGTCATCCCTGGGACCAGCCTTTTGTTACGCAGTACACAAGATTCCATGTTCCTGTCATCTATTGAATGACAGGAACATGGCTCTTCTGTATAACCTTTTTACCACCAATTTTCCCAGGCACCTTCTTCCCTAATTGTGACTTCATCACTTCAGTCTACCAGATTCCTTTATGACCTCTTCTTATGCATGTAGGTCCTCTCAAATCCATTAGACACATGCATCCTTGTCATGACCCACCTTATCTTGAACATCAGATCACTCTGTCTTACCAACGTAACTACTCATTCAGTCTTGTTGTCAGTCTGCACTACTTTTGACTTCTCATTTTTTTACATTTGCTCTCACTGATCAGAATTGCGCCTCAACATGATCTTAGGTCCATGTGTAGCCATGATGACACTTGCTGTCCCTCCTCCTGTGTTTTCTGTACTCTCTCTTTCCTTTTGTTGTAGTTTACTCCTTCATTACTTTTCTACCTCTACCCATTATATAAAATTCCATAATGCATTCAACTTCTTTTTTTCAAGGCAATCAGAATTAAATGTATACTTTAATCTCCATTCTTATACTTTTTAAATAATATATCACAGGGCCAGATCCTGGTTCTCTGCTTCATATCAACACAGACAGAGAGTTAATATACCCATTCTCCATATAGCGACTAATTCTTGGCTGATACAGACCTGTTTTAGTCATTTCTATAAGTAGGGACCACCAGAATTTGTGCCAGGACTGTGCTGCGTGGCTGCTCCTTTAATCTTGCAGTTTCCCCTGCAGGCCCCCCCTCCACACACATATTGATTGGCGGAGGGGCCCCGCCGCTCACCATTTGCCCCGATCGACAGGGAGGCAAAAACTGTGGTTTTAAATATGCCGTGGTTTTTGCCTCCCGCTGCTGATTGACAGAGAGGCCCCAGTGATCCCACCACTTGCAGCTGACCGGATGGGAGGCAAAAACAGCAGCATATTTAAAGCTGCGGTTTTTGCCTTCCGGCCATCAGTAGCAAGTAGCGAGCAATGGGGCTGATGGGGCTACTCCGCTAATCAGTGGTGGGGAGAGGTGTATGGCTGAAACTGCAAGATTAAAGGAGCCACCACACAGTGCACGTCTGGCGTGAATTCCAGTGGTCTCTACCTCTTTGGGTTGTTTTCAGGAGAATGTGGGCATGGCTGTTAGCCTATAGGTTTCAAGTAGTAGAATGGTTGTTGGTGTTTCAGAAATCATTGGCAGGCCTTTCTGTGAAACCATAAATTGAAATTTCTCATAATTTGCTTCCTTCTTTAATATCCTCTGGGCCAATCTTTGAACTTTCAGAAATACGTAGCTATTAATGTACATATGATCCTCTACTTTTATGGCTCAGGAGCCGTAGTAAGTACAATACAGTGTAACTCTGTATAGTGGCCTTGACTTTAATTGTTCCTGGGCCTCAGTACTTACATAGGTTCACTAGTTAACCACTATATTTACCCTGCAATATTACCATGACCTTTTCTTTGCCCAATTGTTTCACTTAAAATGCATGAAAAATTCAGATTCCTCCTTCAGCTTCCTCTTGTCCTCTATTTTTGAGTAAGAGGAAAATATTGACATGATTTTCTCCATTATATCTTTGTGCACATTTTTGATTAGTATTAAGTGAAAAAACAGAGGTTCAAAATTTTGGAATTTCAGGTATTTCAGTAGTAGGAGAGACATCTGTAAATAAACACTTATTCATGTTGTGATTAGTGAATGCAAGTATTGTTGAATATTATGCAAAATGCAATAACACATAAGTGTACATATATACATTTTTAATTTCTGATATTTCATAGGACCAGTTGCAGGTTTGGACACAACTCAGGCAAACAAAACAAAAAATAATAAGCTGTTGAATTCCAGTTAGCTTTAAAAACTGATACTGTAAATTCCCTTTAGATCAGTTGACCCAATAGACATTTTGTGATTAGACAGGAGATTCATTTATCTAAAGGATTTAAAATGTGGGGTAGTATAAAATATGGATTTGTTGAATACAGCATTGACTACAACTTCAGCCAATATGTTCCAATGAACTTTGCATAACCCCTTGATACCAACAAAGGAATTAGTTGTAAAATTTCCCAATCGGTTTCCTACTTTCATGTCCAGCCAGCGATAACACCGACAAAACTGAAGAACTAAGAAATAGCTTTAAAAAAATTAAACCTGGGATCAGTCTGAGCACTCCTGAGGGAATGTGTTTCACTGCCGTAATGATTAATAGAGCCTCTTAAGTGACACAATATTCACCAGGAAGTTTTCACTAAATGAAATATTGACTCAGCCCTTCACCAAGAGAAGCCCAGCTGGAAAAACTAGGGTTGAGATCCCAAAGCTCTAAGATACACTACTTCCAGCATTAATCAACTTGATATGGCACTTTTTTAATGTATCATTATTCAGCACTGGTTCTGGTAATTCTTCACTACATCTTCAAGGCCAGTCTATCTAAAACCATCATTGTATTTCATGTCTGTTTCAGACCAGTTTTATATTTGCAGAAGATGAGAGAACTCTTTATAACTGTATCAAGTAGTGATGATGTTGAAAAAATTTAACAAATCTGTGTTTTGAAATGTATCTCAGTAATAGGAAGCTTGTCTGATCTGAAACTTGGTACAGTGATGCTATTTTTGTAAATCTGAGCATTCTCTTACTATCCTGTTTTTAAAGAATTATATAATATACTTTTAACAAGTGGCAGGTGCTCGGATACAGAGTTACGCCTGTTTTGATCTATGTTGTGTAAGTCTAAGCAATGGAAATATTGATTTAGAATGCAGACATACACTGATTATACTCTATGTAGCATATAAATGGAGTGAACACATGATGCCCAGTCTTACCCAGTGTAAATTACTTCACTCTGCAGTAAAGTTCCCTCTTAGACCGTGGGGAGTAACTATATATAAGTGTGCAGATTATCCCTTCCATGCAAAGAGATCGGTAAGGAAATGTTAGCCTTAATACCTCTTTAACAAGAATGACCTCCTTTTCTTAACGGCTGACTTTATTCTACAAAGGGCATTACTAATCCTATAGTCTCTTAAGTCAAATGTTTTACTCTTTTTAATATTTATATTAAATAGATCTTTTAGAAAGGTAAACTAAAATAAGCAAACGTCAATAGCTACCTAAAATCTTGGTAGAAGGGAGAAGGTAAAAATGGTGTGAATGAAATCCAGTTCTGTTTTATTGATGCTAATGGGAGTTCTGAGTATATGTGAAAGAAAAACTTGATCCCAGTGATTACAACAGGCAAGATCAGTACATAAATTCTCATAAAACAAAGGAGCAAATGGCACTAGGATTTATCTTACAAATGAAGGAGGTCAATTGTCATTTTCATTTTATAATCTGAGTTACATTTGAGACTCTCATCAAATGTGTAAGTTAAATATGGGCAGTTTTAATTTCATACTAAATGGTCATAATTAGGGCCCAGCTTGCTAATATTATGGTCTGATTATGGCAGAGGCCGCCATTTTTGCCCCTCCCTCCCCCATTCCTCCGATTGGCTGAGGGGACAGGTTTAGGGCCGGGTTTAATTGCAACAGCAGAAGCCTTGCTCCCACTAATTACAACAGCAGAAGCCTAGGTCCCACCAAGGCTTGCTTGATGGTTGCTGAAAAGCCCACATCCAACCCATGCCCCTCCCCACTTCACTGGGCTGAGATGTTCTTGGCTTGCCTTTATTTCTTCTTATTGAAGAAAGAGAGCAGCATGATTGGAGCAGGGAAGCAGGCAGGCAAGAGGCTTTTTTCTGGGCTTGGAAGCTGCTGGTTCTGGGTAGGGGGGGGCTGTTTTTTTCCTGGGGTTGGTACTGAGTAGGGGAGGGCTGTTTGCTTCTCTGTGCGTTTGTTCTCTTCCCCACCTCTAACCCCAGTGCCACAGTTTTCCTGCCCAGAGAAGCAAACAGGTCCTCCCCTACCTAGTGCCAGGGCTGTTTAAAAACTTTTAGCTTGTAAAATAAGAATGGGAAATATGAAATGCTTATTTTGTATTTTATATAAATGTTTCATGTGTATCAAACTTTTTTTAAAAGTTATATATGCAAAACTCAATCTCTTCATAAATTGTGCTGATAAGATAGCTAAAGCATGTATTCTAAAATACAGTGTGTTGGGGGGCTTTTAATTAACTTTTTCTGTAAAGCTAATGATGACTTGTCCTTTTCTCTTTTAAAAGGTGTTCCATACTTAAAATACTTCCTAATTTGCGATTTCTTAATGGTGAAACCCTAAATTCTGATATGCAGCTCACAACTGAAAGAATTAAGGAGTCAAAATCACAAAGTTTTCTGGCATTTTGTCAAGCCCAGATTCAAGAAATTGGTGTATTAAAAAAGAAGTCCACTGCATTAGGGTATGTATTTACAAGCTGTTTATAGTAATAATATAAAGAAAAGCTATGTGTTATGATAAAAAGCTATATTATGAATACTATTCAAAACATTTATCTTGAAGCAAAGCATTATTCCTGTGCTTGTTAAGAGTATCCAAATTTACAGACTTCTACTGAGTTTTTCTACAGGAATATTGTTGTTAACTCTTCACAAATGTTGGGTAGAAAACTTGGAAATGGCCTTTGTTGATTCAGTTCATTCTCATTTTTTTTATATCATCAGGGTATTGTAGAAACGTATTCTTTCTGCTTTCTGACTTTCACTGGAGAACCTTTGCCATTTTGAATATGTCTTCCCATTTTCCTTCTGCTTGGTTGATATATCTTGGTGGATCCAGGATTATAAAGCATGGGGGCGGTGGCAGAAGTAGTAGCTGCTGCTGCATAGGTGGCTCAAACCTCTACCCCTCAATTCCCAACCTTCCCCCTTCTTTAAGTCCCTGAATCTCACTGCTGCTCACAAGGAATTGGTGGGGAATGTAGTAGTGGACGGCAACTTGGGCAGCAGTGACCACAAGATGATTGCGTTTAGGATCCCGAGAAAAGGAATAATGGAGAGCAACAGAGTAAGGACCCCGGACTTCAGAAACAGACTTTGACTCACTCAGGGAACTCATGGGAGAGAGAGTCCAGGAGAGATGGCTGTACTTGAAGCCTTACTGAGAGTACAGAAACAATCCCAATGCACAGGAAACTAGCAAGTATGGCAGAAGACCAGCTTGGCTTAGCAGGGAAATCTTTAGTAAACTAAATCACAAAAAGGAAGCTTATAAGAAGTGGAAACCTGGACATATAACTAGGGAAGAGTATAAAACCATTGTTCAGGCATGCATGGATGAAGTTAGGAAGGCCAAAGCACATTAAGAGTTGCAGCTAGCAAAGAATGTGAAGGGTAACAAGAAGGGTTTCCACAAGTATGTTGGTAGCAAGGAGGATCACAAAACTGTGGGTCCCTTACTGAATGGGGGAGGCAACCTTGTGGCAGAGGATGCAGGAAAGGCTGAAGTACTCAAAGCCTTTTTTGCCTCAGTCTTCAAAGGCAAGGTCAGCTCCCAGACTACTGCACCAGGCAGCACAGTTTGGGGTGGCGGTGAGCAGCCCTCAGTGATGAAAGAACAGGTTAGGGACTACTTAGAAAAGCTGGGTGTGTAGAAGTCCATGGGGCCAGATGGGATGTACCTAAGGGTGCTGACGGAGTTGGGTGATGTGATTGCAGAGCCATTGGCCATCATCTTTGAAAAATCATGCCAATAAGGTGTCCCTGATGATTGGAAAAGGGCAAACATAATACCTATATTTAAGAAAGGGGAAAAGGAGGATCCAGGGAACTACAGACCAGTCAGCCTCACCACAGTCCCTGGACAAAATCATAGAGCAGATCCTCAAGGAATCCATTTCTAAGCACTTGGAGGAGAAAAAGGTGATTAGGAACAGTCATCATGGATTCACCAGGGGTAAGTCAAGCCTGACCAACCTGATTGTCTTCTATGATGAGATGACTGGCTCTATAGATGCAGGGAAACCAGTGGATGTGGTATACTGTGATTTTAGCAAGACTTTTAATACAGTTTCCCACAACATTATTGCAGGCAAGCTAAGGAAGTATGGGCTGGATGAATGGACTGTAAGGTGGGCAGAAAACTGGCTGGAGCATCAGGCTCAGAGAGTAGTAATCAATGGGTCAATGTCTAGTTGGCAGCCGGTATCAAGTGGAGTGCCCTAGAGATCAGTCCTGGGGCGTGTTTTGTTCAGTGTCTTCATCAACGACTTGGAAGATGGCATAGAGTGCGCTGTCAACAAGTTTGCAGATGACACCAAGCTGCTGGGAGTAGTAGATATGCTGGAGGGTAGGGTTAGGATTCAGAGTGACCTAGACAAATTGGAGGATTGGGCTGAAGGGCAGCTCATGAAGTTCAACAAGAACAAGCCCACCTAGGGCAAAATGCCATGTCCCAGAGCATGCGTGCATGGACATTTCCCAGGAATAAGCAGCAGAGGCACATACTGTGTCATATTGTGCTACTGCTGCTTGTCTCCAGGGAAATGCATGCTCCTGCTCATGGCGACATGCCCAATGTGTGCAACTGCAGGAGGAACCAGTCTGAAGAGCTATACTGACTGTCAATTTGGCCTACAACTCCCAGAAAACCCAAGGAGCTGGGGGGCAAGGAAAATAGAAAGAAGACATTTCAGGCTGAAGCAAGGGGAAGAGAGAACATTACGCACATGGAACCTGGTCAGGTCTATACAGAGGAGTGCACAGTAGAGCTGCAGACCTCACTGGCTCCGTCAGCCAGGACTGTGGCCTGAAGGTGGATTCAGACTTGGGGGCAGTTGCAGGAGCTGTTTGAGCTCTCTAGGAACTAAAGGCTTGTTTGGGGACAGGAGGCACTACTTCACTGTCAGGGTGGCTAGGAGCTGTAACCAACTTCCAAGGGAAGTGGTGCTTGCCCCTACCCTGGGGGTCTTCCAAAGGAGGGTAGACAGCCACCTAGCTGGGGTTATTTAACTAGATGGGGTTGGACTAGATGATCTGCTCAGGTCTCTTCCGACCCTACCAACTATGAAGTGCAAAGCCCTGCACTTAGGATGGAAAAATCCCATGCACTGGTACAGGCTGGGAGCTGACTGGCTGGTCAGCAGCTCTGCATAAAGGACCTAGGGGTTACAGTGGAAAATAAGCTGAATATGAGCCAGCAGTGTGCCCTTCTTGCCAAGAAGGCTAACAGCATACTGGGCTACATTGCTAAGTGTGTTGCCAGTAGGACAAGAGAAGTGATTATTCCCCTGTATTCAGCACTGGTGAGGCTACATTTACAGTACTGTGTTCAGTTTTGGGCCCTCCATTACAGAAACGATATGGACAAATTGGAGAGAGTCCAGCAGAAGGCAACAAAAATGGTGAGGGGGCTGGGGGACACGTCTTATGAGGGAAAACTGAGGGAACTGGGCTTATTTAGTCTAGAAAAAAGGAGACTGAGGGGACTTAATAGCAGCCTTCAACTACCTAAAGTGGGGTTCAAAAGAGGATGGAGCTAGACTGTTCTCAGTGGTGGCAGATGACAGAACAAGGAGCAATGATTGCAAGTTTCAGCAAGGGAAACTTAGTTATTTGGAAAAATTTTCTCATTAGGAGGATAGTAAAACACTGGAACAGGTTACCCAGAGAGATGGTGGAAACTCCATCCTTGGAGCTTTTCAAAACCCAGCTAGACAAAGCTTTGGCTGAGATGATCTAATTAGGAACAGTCATGCTTTGAGCAGGGGGTTGGAGTAGATGATCTCCTGAGGTCCCTCCCAACCCTAACTTTCTATGAATCAAGTAAGAATCTCCCTCCCCATCCCCTGCTCCTGGTGCCCCCTCTCCTTTTCTGAGTTCAGTGGCACCTCCCCTCTCCTCTTGGGAGCTGGACTCAGCTGGGTACAGTGGCAGTGGTGGGCAGGTTCTCCCCTCTGAACCTGTTCCCGGGGTCATGGAGAACACCCAGGCGGACAAGGCAGAGACAGAGAATCTTCCCACTGCTGTTCCTGGCCAAGCCCAGATCCTAATGCAATGTGACTGGAGCAGGGTAGGAGTGGCCCTGGAGATTCCCCTGCCTCTTGGCCAGCTCAGGGTAGCAGCACATGAGAGGAATGGGAGGGGAAGTGCTGCTTAGCACAGAGAGAAGGGTGGGGGTGTTAAGCAAGCTGAGGATTCTTATCTGCTGCTCCCTCATTGTGGCCATTTCAGCCCCTCTAGATCTGCCCCTGCTTGTTGGTATATACTGAAGGAGCATTTATCCTTCTACATTTTAAATGATGTGTACATATGATATCGTCTTGACAAAGGGATTACCATTTTTACTCTAATAAGATGAGGTTCCCTTCTCCTCCCATCAGCATGGGGAAAGAAGCTTCTCATCTTGCATTCACATACAAGGAAACATCATTAAATACGTTGTCATTAAACTACTTCCAGAAGCAGCATGTTCTCAGTAATAAAAGTAACTATGAAGTTGATTAAATGCAGCCAACATTGAGCATGACTATAAAACACATGGTCCATATTGGGCAAACATAATGATGGGAATCTACCACAAGATAAGTTAGCAAATCTGAATAAGATGCATGGTAGTGCCTGTCGCACTCATTCTCCCTTAGTGCTGACTCTTTTTCAAGTCATAGTGAGCAGAGCCCCCACAACATTAAATAATTTTCGACTTCATCTTCAGTCCCACAGCGGAACTATACCTTTCTTTTTCATTTCCAATGATTCCCAGGGCCAGAGTAACCCTTTAGTGGGCCCTAGGCAAACAAACTCATGGGCTCCAGGCCAGTTGAGACCCCACCCCTCTACCCCAACCCCGGTGCTGCTGCTCACAGGGCTCAGAGCTGCAGCTAGGCAGCATCTGCTGTGGCAGCAAGGCCAGGGGAGGGAAAGGGAATGGAATATAGGCAGATGGGGCCATTCACACCGCCACCGCAGAGGGAAGGACTGGTCCCCCCTTGGATCCCTCCCAAGGCCCTAGGCATGTGCCTAGTTTGCCTATACATTAATCCAGCCCTGATGATTCCTGTTTCTTCACCAATCATAACTGACTGGCGAATGTCAAACAACAGAGCCCCAAACCATTCATCCAGAATCCTTCTGTTACCCCTTTTCTCAGCCTGTCACTTAGGATTAGTATGGCCCTACCCTCCATGAGGTTGAGCTGGACCAGGTTGCATCTCATCTGCATATTATTTTTTGAAGGATCCCAGGACTTGTGACAAGAACACCTGGTTCCAATCATGAATGGGGCCTAATTAGCATATGGATCCTTTGTGGGTGGATATCTGGAGCTCACACACATACTGATCAGTGCTGAGATGTGGGGTCATCATGGCTTGAAACACTGTTGACTCTGTTGGGGCCCAGCCCAATGAACTAATGGGAAATCGTAAGCCTTTTGGCTTTGGACCAGTATCATGGATAGATTGTACTATATGTAAGTAGGTACCAAACTGCTGCTGAAAAGTGTTTATGGAGTATCTGTGCTACAAGTTGCAGCAGTCGCAAAAACAAGATAAAATGCATCAATTCTGGTTGAACTAAGTCTGTGGGTACCCATGGTAATTTACCCATATGCAAATTACTATAGGCATGTTTATTTCAAAGTCAGGGTTTTCAAATTTGCCCCTCACTTCCATATTCCCAGGGAGAGCAAAGACTGACAGTAAGGAGGTGGGGGAAGAAGTTGGGGGGACAGAGCATGGGGGGCCACCTAACCCCCTAGATTTATTTTCCCTGCTGTAGCAGTGGAAGGGGGGACAAATTCAAGACAGACTAATAATTAGATTTGAAACACCTGGAAAATTATAACAAATTTATAACAAATTGGTGTGGTCATCTTATATTCAGGGTCATTTTATATTCTGTAAAAATGGTATATTTGCAAGAGTCCATTTTGCTCTACATTAACTTTAATGAAATTTTATTTTTATCATGTATGCTGATAAGACTTAGATAAGGTCCACCCAATTTAGTCTCTCTGGCAATTTTTTGGCTTTTGTATCAGACTGCCTGATCACAGACTGCCTGAGACTGCCTATCAGTCTCCCTGGTCACTTTTCAAGGCTTCTAGTATTCAAATACCTTTTCTCTTGTCTAGAACATGTTCACACTGAATGCCCCTATGACAACATACTTTAAGATTTAATGCTTTTGTATCTGGCCATGTTGTAGCTGTGATTTTTGGGGGTGGGTTCATATGCAGATAGAGGGTGGTGCTCCTTCATCAGTTGATCAATTGTAGCAGTGTATCCTTGCTAGAAATGCTTCATAATATTCATTCTTATGGAGCAGAGAATGTCATAGTGTGCCAGAATTTGCACACATTATAATTGATATTTTGTATGTAAAAAAATTACTTACCTCTCACAGTATGGTAAATCTGAAACAAAATACAGAGCTGAGAAGAATGCATTGCATTCAAAAGCTTCAGTCTATCCCAAGCATGCAGCTGGACCAATAAAAGATCTTTCATAAGAAAAAAAAAATGCTTTGTGCATATTTTCTGGAACCATCATGGCCACAACATCACTCCAAAACTAATTTTCTGTAAAGTTGTGTTTATAGTTCAGAAAAAAAAATACTGATTAGAAACAATTATGGCTGTTGCAGTCCTCAGTAAGGATTGAAAACAGTAGTTGCTGATGTGTGGGGAAAATGCTATCCATAAAGAAGTAATATATTTTTAAAAGAATAGAAATGCTTGAGAAGACTAAAGTATTCTCTTATTGAAGTTTGTTCCACAGTTTATCTATTTATTATTAGAAATTTTGAAGGTTTTTGTGGGGAGGAAAGAACCTTAATCTTTCATAACTAGTAATTGAGAAAGTTGAAATAATTTATGTAAAATTGGGCTTACAAAATGTTTGCTTGGCTTAAAACCTTGTATGCTATATTTTGGCTCAGAACACATTTTATGGATGATTTAAGAACCATTGAAAAGTGCCGTTCATAAAAGGAACCCTAAACAATATGTACCTACATAAGCTTAAACAGCACAGCTATTATATCTACATACTGCATTACTTTCTCCAAATTGACTGACTTAATGTGACGTTGCTTAAGAACAGGCCAAAAAAAAAGAGCAAGCTTCTTGTCTGTTTCACATCTCACTAAGTTATGAGCCCCTGTAGGTACGACCTCAACTATGTAAGCTGCCAAAAGTAATCACCACTTGGGTCCCTAATTCATGTTTCATATGCCACTACTGCCCGATTAAAATCGTCTGTACTATTTCTGCTTTCAAATTCATTGTTGTTACCATGTTTAAGAATTATTATTCTTTAATTCTATTTTAATAAATGCCTCCTGTCACAGAATCTTTTGACACTTGGTAGCAAGTAGCCAAAAAAAAAACCAACCCCAAAATAAAACACGCACTTTAGTTGCCATACTTTGTTTTCAGCAAACAGATATGCAGATGCTGGACAGTAACAGACCCTAACGGAAATTGAAAACCTTATAAATACTAACTATTTAAAATAGTGAAAATGACAAGAAGGCTTATAAGTGGATATTTGACAAAAGAAGTAGAAACAGTAAATTCTTTCATGTATTTATAAGGGACATTTGTAAACTGCAGTTGACTTGTAATAATGATACTTATACTTTTCCCCAACGAGGAATTAAATCTTACCATACAATTCCAAGCAGAAGCTTAGATAAAATTTGACTGAATATTCCATTTATCATAACTCTCACATTCCTTTTAAAAATAACATAGTATGATCATTCATATTAAAGCACCAAGAGGTTCGTTTTGTTTTTTAAAATCTTAGTGTGTGTGTGCTGTGTTTTAACTAGGACATAGAAGTTTAGGGCCCAAATGTTATTTACGATATGGCTATAAACAGCCAGCAGAGAATCCCCATTGCTGAGGGGAACTCTCTACTAGTATACACCTGGCAGAACTGGCTTCTTTGTCAGAAGGTTTCCTAGCTCCTTAGATAGAGGTCATCCCAGGAGGAGGGGAGAACAAGTTGAGTTCTGCTTTTGTCTTCCAGCACTGTAGCACCAAAATTGACCTTTCAACAAACAATGTGCATATATGTGCAGTGTAATTGTGAGCAAGCTCCTCTGTCTACAGTAGCTGACCATTATATGCAAAGACTAGAGAAAAAAAGCCAACCTATCAGTATAGCAAAGCAAATAAGCTAATATCAATTGGAAATAATGTAAAAATAAAACAAGAGAAAAGAAACAGTTTAATATTATGATTATATGTGACAAATTGGCAATGGAAACAAAAATTATTTACTACTTAGTGTTCACAAAAAATGTGTCTTGTATTCTTCTGTACTTGGAATATAAATGGCACATGTGAACTAAATAAAAGCACTGTTGATTTTTTTTTTTTAATATCCTTTGTATAATCTAAAATAAATGTAATTGCATTTTTATTTTTCTTCAGAAATGCCTTTTCCTTTGATGCTGCACAAAACCAATGTTGGTATTTTGAGGAACTCATGAAAGTCAGTAATGAACACCGTTATGCACATGAATATGGAGACTTCAACATCACTGACAGAGATGAACCAGAAGCACTGCAAAATCATTTAAAGGAAACAGTCACCAACAGGCTGCAGCAAAATAACCTCTTTATCACTGGTGCAAAGGAAAATAAGCAGGGCTCGTTGGATCCTTCTGAAAGATGGATTACTTCTGGCTACATTCAGTCCATTAACTCTTCAGTATCTTTATACCAAAAGGAAAGCAATGAAGAGCTCAGAATAGAACAGAAGAGTACTGAATTTTGCCACAGTCCCAATAGTGAAGGTGAAGATCCCAGTAAAATAACTGTCCATACTAAAAGAAACACATTCAGAGAGCCAGTTATGGCATGCAAAAAGGGAAGAATTCTTCAGTGTTTTGAGCATGATGGACAAAAGTAAGATATACATCTCAGATCCATTTTTATACAAAATCTGTCATAAAAATGAGCAGTCATAATCCAAGAAAAACTTCTAAATTTTTTATTGCACTAATTGTATAGTTGGAAGAGATGTTGGAGAACCTTTCACGCACAAAATGCCTTTGTTCGGATCACCCTTTGTTATGTTAGGCAGGCAGAACAGGAGCCAGTGATTTGCCCCTGTTTGTATACATGAGTTCAGTTGCAACAAATTTTCTACTTCCAAGATTTTGATGAGGCAAGGATTTCTTAGGGTGATATCTTTTTATTGGAGCAACTGCTGAGATAGAGTTAGACAGGCTTTTGAATCCAAGACATTCAGGTCAACTGATGAAGACTGTCTTGCATTGAAAAACTTGTCTAACTTTATCCCAACTGTGCAGCATGGATCCAGGGCGGCTACACTGGTAAATTTGTACCCCCTTTTGATTCCTGAGCCACCCAGAGTTTAAAACCAACTGTCTGGCAGTAGCAGCAGCATTTCTAGTCAGGTAGTGCTAAGGAAGTCAGTTGACTTCTGACTCATTATAATCTACCCAATCCCTTCTAAACTCTTCATTTCATAGGTGTTAATGATACTCTCTTCTTTTTAGTGGTCTTGATGTTCCACCAATCAAGCTATTCTTTGTTCTCCAATTCTGTTAGCTGTTCCTGGCAATGACATTCTAATTTCACAGCCCTGCAGATTGTTTTTCACACATTCCAGTGAAGTTATGTTTGTTTCTGCTTCAATCTGAAACTGAATAATATAGCCCTAGGCCCCTAGCATATCATAAAGCTGGTTCAGGGCTCAGTCGTGTTTTTGAGTGGAGTGTCAAAGACACCCCATAACTAACTTTTAAGATCTCGGCATGCTACAGATGGATGGCAGGGGAGCTGCAAGGGGTCCGATCCTTCTTGTAGCAACACGGCCCTAGCCCCTTCTTTGCTGTCTGCCCAAGGCATGCGTGCACCTGCTGGAGGCAACAAGCTGAGCTGGGGCTCTACAGACCCTGGTGCAGCTGCTTGCAGCATCCTCGCCACCTGCTGTGAGTAGCCCGGGCTCAATGGCAGGTGGTAGGGGCCTGTCTAGGCTGGCTGTGGCAGGCAGCCGGGAGGCTGCAAGCAGCTGCATAGGGGCCCACAGAGCTGGGCCCAGCTCGTTGCCAGCAATGGGTGCACATGCACCCCTGGATGGATGGCAGGGGAGCTGTGAGGGGCTGATCCTTGTTGTGGCAGCACAGCCCCAGCCCCTTCCCCATCGTTCATCACAAGGTGCATGCCAAGCAAAATGCATTTGTATGCCATACTTTGGCACATGTGCTGGGGGTTGCCAACCCCTGTTCTAGTTTATTTTTAACTGGAGAAAGATAGGTTGTTGTTCTATATGTGATGATGCACCTCACCATCTGCATCCCCTTTTTCAAAATTCTAGATCTACCCATGGTTCAATAAAAGATGTCACTCTAAGAAATCCTTGCCTTTGGCATAATTGCTGGACCATCATGGCTACATCAGTCCAATACTAGCATAACATTCTGAAGATCATTGAAAAGTGTGTTTCTTCATTTTCCTCAGTTGGATAATATGCAGAAAAAAATCCTTCTTTTAAAGATGTTCTTAGCAGTCTGATTATTTATTTTGGAATTTATTTACTTCCAGAAAGATTGCAGAATTTTAATTGATTCCATCGAAATCAAGGGTACGAAATGACCCATTATGAAACCTAAATACTTTTGAAAATGTAGATTTTTTTCTAAATGTTGCATTTAATATAGTATTGGTTTTGATTTTTTTTCTTAAATTTAATCTTCAAATGTAAGAACCTAACCATTGAAACCATATCCTCTTTAATACTGATGAGCACTTGTACTTTGCAGTCTGTTAGAGAGAAGCAAGACATGCTCTTTTTTCCTGCAGTTTTGTTGTTTCATAGATTTCATAGACATTAGGGCTGGAAGGGACCTTGGAAAATCATCAAGTCCAGCCCCCTGCCCGAAGTCAGCTGGGGTCATAGGATCCCAGCAAGATAAGCATCCAATTTTTTCTTGAAGGTGTTCAATATAGGTGCTTGAACCACCTCTGATGGCAGGCCATTCCAGACCTTGGGGGCTCGGACATCAAAGAACTTCTTCCTTACGTCCAGCTTGAAACGGGCTTGCAGTAGTTTATAACCGTTCGACCTCATCATCCCTTGAGGCGCTCTGGTGAACAAACGTTCCCCCAGATACTGGTGGTCACCCCTGATAAACTTATAGGCCATCAGATCACCCCGAGCCTGCGCTTTTCCAGGCTAAAGAGCCCCATAGCTCTCAGCCTGTCATCGTAGGGTCTGCTTCCCTGACCTCTGATCATGCGCGTAGCTCTTCTCTGGACTCTCTCAAGCTTCTCCACATCCTTTTTGAATTGTGGAGCCCAAAACTGGACACAGTACTCCAGCTGCGGCCTCACTAAGGCCGAGTACAGGGGGAGAATGA